TAGACGAAGAACAAATGAGAATGAGGAACAGGAAGAATATATCTACATATCACCCACAGAAATCTTATGAATAGCAGCAGATCATTGTCAGACCGAGGGTAAGAAGATAAGTCTCATATAGGAAATCATTCAAAATACACCTGTGGAAGAATTGTTTCCCCAAAGTAGCATCACTTTAATTATGCCGATGTAGTAAGATTTCAGCACATTCATTTGCTGATTGGGAACATGATAAGTTATAAGAAACAGTTGCAAACAAACAATAATCAGACCATGTATGAGGATGGTCAGTACATAAGCATGGAACGTGTGAGGTATGAATGTAGTAAAATTGGAAGGTCTCAAAAATTAAATAAAAATTGAACGATTAATATCTGAGACATGAGTGAACTAAAATGCACTGGTATTGTCCATTTTCAATTAGACAACGGCTTATTATGCCAAGACCAAAAAATTCACAAAGAATGGCTTTCCATTCATTATCAAAAATGATCTTTTAAGATATATATTGAAGTACAACATCTGTGGTAGGATAACATGAATAAGTGCAAGGAAAATCAGTCAATATAACTACTTATGACCCACCACTCAAATGAATGTAGAAGAAAGAGAAAACTCCTACCAACGTTATCATGCTGAATGATCCGATTAAGGGGCATTGATAAGGACTGGTGATTATAATAAAAGAGTTAGAAACAGAGGGAAATAATCACCACTTGGAAAAACAAAACCGGAGATTGCGTGATTGAACTTGGTGAGACCAACCACGGCTTCTTTCAAAATCCCTATTTTCAGCAGCCTAACTAGTAACTGTACCAATGGACTTTACCAGACGGAACACACAGTAATCCAACTGACTACGTCTGCAGGAAGAAAAGATGGAATAGCGCAATTTTAGCAAACTAAACCAGAGCCAACTCTAAGATAGTTAAGAGCTCATGCGTAAATGTAGCTTGAAGCCCAAGAAAATTAAAAGAACTCCATGAGAGCCAATATACAATCTTGAGCATTTCCCACCTGAATTTAGGGAACTTTTCAAGAACATTTGACATACATTGAGCTCGAATATGAAAACGTGAAGAGCTGTGGGATGACTTCAAGATATCATACATGAAGACAGCAAAAGGCTGCTTAAAATATAGAAAAGAAAGAAAAAGACAATGTATGTCAGAAGACAATCTAAAACTTGCTCTTGGATATAAAGTAGCTGAAAGTCAATGAAAGGAGTGATGAAGTAAAAGACATGTGCGGTTAGTTTCAAAGAGCAGCTCAAAAAGAGAAAGTGTTCGAGTGAACTGTGAAAAGATTTGGAGTTAGAAATCCAAAAGAAAAAGATATGCTCCACGTATCTCAAGCTGAAAGAAATGAAGGGGGGGAAAAATCAGACCTTCCGTGGCAATCTTGAAGGTTTCTATGGGCAGACTGACTATCACTGGACCTAAAGTAATTGATCAATATGCAATCATTTTAAAAAGTGGCATATTTTCAAGATTCAATGTGTTTGATAGAAGATGTTCAAGTGGCACCGGATGTGTCGGTGCTACAACCAAACCACAGTGGCCCTTTACACGGCAAAAAGCACTCTCCGCCATTTCAGTTGCTCCCACGGCTGAGCCCATGGTTGCAGTCAGGTGTCAGTGCATCTCTTTGCAGGCCTTGCTCTGCTTTGCTGCCCCTCTGCTCTACCAAGCATGATGTCCTTTTCCAGGGACTGGTCTCTCCTGACAATATGCCCCAAGTATGGAAGACTAAGTCTTATCATCCTTGTCTCCAAGGAGATCTTTGGTTGTACTCAAGACAAATGTGTTTGTCCTTTTAGCAGTCCATGATACTTTCAATATTCTCTCCAGCACCACAATTCAAATACATCTGTTCTTTGATGTTCCTTATTCAATGTCCAACTTTGACATGCATATGAGGCAATGGAAAATACCACGGATGTTTTGGGTCCGGCCCACTTTAGTCCTCAAAGTAACACCCTCACTTTTAAATATCTAAAAGGGTCTTGGGCAGCAGATTTACCCAATGCAGCATGTCTTTTGGTCTCCCGACTGTTGCTTCCAGGATCCATAGAAAACAAAATGTTTGACAACATCACCCCTTCTTGATTTATCATGATGTTATCTATTGGGCCAATAGATAACTGAATTATTAAGAAAAAAGTAAAGCTTTAGGAATTGACCAAATGCCCGTTAAAATATTTTAAAAATCTGACACAGCAGCAGAAGCAGTCACTTGTTCATGGCAAGAAATGTCAAAGAACCAACGGGCAGAGAGCACATGCGGACCTATTGCAAAGAAAGGTGACCCGACACCGTTCAGAAATCTGAGCAAGGCTACAAACATTCCTGAGAATGAAATAAAGCCAAGAAGGAGCAGGAAGAATAAGTTTTATGTGCATGTGAGGTTTCAGGGCAACAAAAAAGTCCCCAATGAAAATGAGGAGAAGGTGGTAAGGCAAAGTAATTTCAGTGTGCTAAGGTGAGTTCATATTTACAGAGTTAGAGCTAATGCACAAAAATATTAGCTGGCTATAGTTAATAAAGATGAGAAAATAAATCAAGGGCATTGAAAGTTAGAATGGTATTAAGACTTCAATAATATAGAAATATCATAGAAGGATGGTTTTCTTCTGAAAAAGGCACAGTGCATTTTAAAATAAGAAACAGATATGCCCAATAAGACAAACGAAACAAAGTAAATTTATGAGATTTAAAAAATATATACAGAATGAATTTGGCCCTTTGATAGAAGCTTTGTACTAAATAAAATTGTGCTGAAAAATCACATTGTGAATGTGTACCTCCCAGGGCCCTTTTGTTCTGAACTCCACCTCTTACCAAAGCTTTTAGATTCGTTCCTTCATTAATATCATTGGGTTTATTTATATAGAGGTTAGATCACCTGTTGTTAGCATGTGGTTCTGGGTCATTACAAAGTGAATTTTAATAAATTAAACCTGATGTCCTTTTGAAAAACAACACATGGGTCAACAACTATGATTAAGTTGTCTATATTAATATGTGGTTATCTCTAGGATAATTATAGTTTCTTCCAAATGATTCATATAAATGGAAAATGCCTTTAAATAGTTTCAAAGTTATTTTTATTCACACCTTTTAAACTTTCCATGTATCTAAATAACTTTGGATTCTCAGCGGTCTTAAATTAACTATTTAATGTAATATTCTGGGCCACTTCCTTCTAAATGGAATCAGTAGCATATTGGTTAATCACATAGCTGGTGAAATAAAAGATCTGCTTGGAATCAGAGCTCTGTAACTAGCTCTTGACCTTGTGCATGTCATTAACCTTTCTCTGACTCAATTGTTCCTTTATCTTCTGGAAAAAAGAATAATACCTATAAATTTTGTTAATTCTCAAAATGACACGAGTTAATATAGTTAGGGAATATTGGACTGGTAGCCACAGTGTTGGCACTCTGGGGAAAGATGTGGCTGTCTGCTTCTGGCGTGATGCACAAAACGTCAAAAGGACTGTCATTGAGTGTCTCAGTGGCCGAGATGGCAGTCAATAGGGTTTGGGCAGATATGGATTGGTTATTCTAAAAAATAAGTTAATATGAGTTAATATTTTTAAAAAGAGTCATACAAAGAAATCAGTTTGTAAAATTTTAAGAACAGAGTCTGATACAGAGTAAACACTTGATAATTAAATTATTATAATTTCAATCATTCTATGCTCTTCTACACTGCTTTTCTTGTAGTTGCTACTTTCAAAATAACAATCAGTTATTGAATCATTAGAAAAAAGAATAAAACTACCTACATATTATTTTAGCATACTTAATATCATTCCTTTGAACTTAGGTACATCGCAGTTTTGAAACTAGTGTATTCTCTCTTTCATATTCTGAACTCCTGGTGGTAGCACGGTGGGCTCGGTCTCCGGCTGAGGATGAAGATGAAGCTGTTTCCTACTATGAAGTTTCAGTCTCTGAAACTCGAAGGAGTGCTCCACGCTGTCGTCATGATTCTGAAACGACTTGGTTGCAATGAGTTTGTTTTTGGTTTATTGCTGATGAAGATGAGCTCGTTAACTGAGTGCTCTTAGATGTGACAAACTACTAAAAAGAAAAAGAAAGAAGGAAAAATCTTACTAGATAAGATCTGAGGGGGATGTCCAGTGATGTCCTCAAGGCTGCCAGAATTTGGGGGCTCTTGTGAAATACTCTATCCTCAAAAACTAGATCATCTGAAGGGAGTGATGAAACTGGGTGCGGTTCTCTTATGTTCTGGTTATAACTCCTGATATGTTTCATGCTCCCTTATTTTCAGATGAATTTGGGTGCCTGCAAGTTATCAGATGACTGCAGGTACTCAGATTCAAGAGCTAAGCAAGAAGTTTTGGGAAAATCCAAGGTATGAATGTCTTTACTTTCCATTTCTCCTAAATACTAGTGAAATATCACAGAACTAGTCACACCGAAGGGACGTGTGAAAACATAATCCCAAAATCAGTACTATGGGGTAAAATTTATGAGGAGAAAATTATATGAAATGCCTTGAAAACAAATGAGGTAAATATTAATACGAAACCAACCCAAACCTGCCATTAAATTAATTTCAGCTCATAGTGAAGCTGTTGTAAATCATAGGTTCTCAACCTTATGTGGACGACCACTTTTTATCAGAAAATAAAGAAGGAAAAGAAAACACGAAACTCCGCACCCTCCCCTGGAAATTAAAAGTTTATTTTGCAAGTTTGGGTTATTAAAAAAATGAGTTATACCTTTATATTTATTTTATATGTTTATTGTTATTTATTTTATATGTAACTATTATTCATATAACCATTATTTATTTATAACTATTTTATTTATTATGCACATACATTTATATATTATTCTATATGTATACATTTATTATATCTTTCTAAAGTGTCATACAAAATAGTTTGTAAAGTTCTTAGAACAGAGTCTGATACAGAGTAAACACTTTATAATTCAAGTATTATAAGCCACACTAAAGGGTAGGATTGTACTCACTTCAGCAGCACATCTTCTAAAATTGGAAAGATATAGAGAAGATTAGCATGGCCCCTGAGCCAGGATGACGCACAAACTCACGAAGTCTTCAATGGACCAAGTAAATAAATGTGCAGTCCCTCTGACTCTTTCCTGCTCACTCATTTAGCATCTCCTCTTTGAGGAATCATTGTGTAAGTTTTCATGGAAGCCGATTATCACCTTTCTCCAGCAGAGAGGTTGGTGGGCTCGATTCATCTAACGAGTTCTAGACAGAACATTTTATTCTTGTAAGAGAGCTCTCAAGAGCATGAAAAGCAGCATTGGATGACAAGGACTTCATATGACTTCACAGGAAGGACAGACAGATAGTAAGGAGTTCAGTAGAAACTGGGTTGAAAGTTACACAGCAGCCTGTTGGTGGGACCAGTTCGAAATGGTCTCATACATGGAACTAAGGGAGGTGGACTTTGTTCTAAAATCAATGAGACAATTATTGCTATCAAAATTCAAATTAATATACATTTTTACCTTAGAAAAAAACTCAGCATGGGGTGAAGCATGGAGCTCAAATGGGAAAACCATAAAAGAAGAAGAGGCCTTACACAAGTGCAGGATCTGGGAAAATACAAAAAAGGGGATAGATCTGTACCTGGTAAAATGATCAAGAGAATTCAGTGACCAATTAAGAGGGAAAATGTAGTGTAAGGAAGATATTAGGATGACCTCATGGTTCCTAGTGGAATAATTGGATTGTGGCTTTAGTTAAGAGATAAAAGTGGTAGGCTTTTGAGGAAAAATGACGACTTTGTGTTTGATCATTGCGCACATGAAAGGTTTATGGATCAGCCAAGGCCAGAGACTCACGACTTGGGGAAACAGGTTCTGGAAGAGAGCGGGGACTCAGCTCAGAACAGAGATTCAGATTGTAGGCAAATCAGCAGTGCCGGATGCCAGATAAAAGTGGCAAAGGAAGATAAAAGAATACGGGCTCATGAATTCTAAAATTTAACCTGTGACAGGAATATCCAAAATGAGGTGTAAAAAAGGCAGCCCAAAAGAGAAGAGGAATGGGAGACACAGGAGCAAAAAGGACCATTTTTAGATAGAGCCTTAGGAAGGTTTACGTTTTCTTGAGAAGACAACTAAGTTGTTTTAAGTCACTAGACTTAACATTTAAACATTGGTTTTACAGGAATAAAACATGGTAAGCTGTGGTATACATTGTGAAATTTTTTAAAGGGCATTTTAATCATTCAGGGTAAATAGGACATTGTTTAAAATAGGGAGTTAAGTTATATATGTGAAGGTGCTATGTAATTATAAACACAAAGCATAGATATAAGTAAATGTAATAAAATGTGAAGTAAAATAAATAATTTTCGGTTAGAACAGCCATACTAAAGACCAGTCACCTTTTGTGAACTATAATTCATAAAAGATTATAGAAAGCCATATAAGTATATATTCAAAATGTATTTCATGCATATCTTTTAGGGCACTGAATAAGGAATAAAGGTAAAAGGAACAATAAATCAAGGCTCTAAGTTTTTAGGCTTCCCTCCAGTTTTCTCTCCTTTATAAAGTTTTTCTTGAGTATACACAAAATGCCTAGCCAGTTGTGCATGCGCCAATTCCAATTCCTGGCCACCCAGTATGCTCTAGAGCAGAGTTTTGCTACCTAAGGCTTTAAATGGCTACTTTTTCAGAAGTTAGATCACCACATCCTTCTTTGGAGACACTTCTGGGTAGACTGGAAGTGTCCATCATTTAGTGACAGCCTAAAACTTAGTGACGGCCCAAGGCCTTCCTTTCTGAATATTTCACCTACCACTCACTACTGTCCTATCCATCCCTGGTGACCCTGTAGGACAAGAAGAACTCTGTAAGTAGTGTTTGCTATCCTTGAACTCTTCACAGAAGCAGACTATTATCTGTTTTCAGCAAAGCAGCGAGTGGATTTGAATCACTGACATTTCTTTTAGCATCCCAGTGCTTAACCCGCTGTGCAACCAGTGATTATCTGCTGACTACACAAGACCCCCCAAAGCTAGATTACTAAATCCTGTTGTTTTTTTTTTTAATTCATGTGTGGTTCTACCCTAGTAAGGATTTCATCCATGTGGTTGCAAGCCCCATGGAATGTCTCTAAGCTTCTTTTGTTTTCCATATAAGCTCATATTTAATGAGGACTGCATTTCTTGTTTAAACTCTAAAGTTTGCTTCTTATTGAAAACAAAGAGAAAGAAAACAAGCAATATTAAGTGCTGACAAGTCCCTGGAGGCATGTGGTTCCCTTGTTCTTTAAAAGCTCTCAGTAGCCTTTGTGGATTTACCAAGGTTCATTACAGAGACAAATAATAAAAAAAAAAAAATTAAAACCATAGTTCTGAAGTGACAACTGCATTTGTCTCTAAAGAAATGGGGAAAAATCAAGAAAACAAGAATAACTTAAAAGTAGAAACATTTAGTTCCAGGCAATATTTCACTTTACTTTTCCCTCCAATCAATCTTAAAAAGCTGTTGTAGCCTGTGAAACATAAGACTATGCAGTATCACAGAAATGACTCCTTACCTGAGAAATATTGATGTCTCCGGCACATGAAAAAAATGTCTGCTAATCGTCCATTGAAACTACCTTCTATATTAAGATTGCCTTTCCCTGTTTGGAGTCACACACTAATTTCTATTATAAGATTCTTTTTTATACTAAGAAGAAATGAGAACGTATGCTAAGCAACTTAGAAACAAGTCCATATTCCTAGCGAAGCCTGCACCTCCGTTCTGTGTTCAAACTGCTCTTCCAGTTCTTCCCTGAGGTTCAAGGGACTGCTTGCAGGCTCCCCCTCCACCCAGTTAACACAAACCTTAAACTGTGTGAAGGATTTATAAGAACATCCTTGTCCATGCTTAGTCTCACATGGCTCCAACATTTGGTTACTATCTTGATCTGCTGTGTCTGGTGGCCTGGTGGGTTAAGAATTGGGCTAGTCATCACAAGGTACATGATTCTCACCCACTAGCCACTCAGTGGGAAAAAATGAGACTGTCTGCTCCCATATAGATTTATAGTTTGAGGAACCCCATGGAATGATTTTACCCTATCTGTAGAGTCGATGTGAGTGGAGATGAACTCCAGGCTCTGAGGGTTTTATTGGGCTTTGTTTTGTTTGCCCCAGTGTGTCTCCCTATCTCATTCCCTTCAGTCCTTGTGGTGTATACACTAAGATTACTGAAATACACCATCTGCACCCAAAGTTTAATAATCCCTTATTCTCTGAGAGGAATTTTGAGATTTATCTTGTTAGGTAAATAAAAAGTACATAAAAGGAAATGAAATATATTTGCATTTCTCATTGTTGTTCAAAATGTGAAATATCTATTCATTCACCTGCCTTTATTGTTTCTGAATACTTTTCTACATTGAGAACCTAAATATTTCTATAAATTCATCTCTCAGTGTTTTAATATTTAGTGTACTAGTGATAATACTAGTGACAACTAGAAGAAGAATCGAAACATTTGAATGATGGTGCTGATGAACAATGTTGAAAATACCATAACTTCCCAAAGGACATACAAATCTGTCTTGGAAGAAATACAAATGAAAGGTCCTTAGAAGCGAAGGTGGCAAGACTCTGTCTCACATACTTTGGACATGTTATGAGGAGAGAGTAATCTTTAGAAAAGGGCATCATGCTTGGTAAAGAGGAAGATCAGTGAAAAAGAGGAAGATTAATTGATAGAGTGGCTGAGGCTCTGGGCTCAAGCATAACTGATTGTCGGGATGGTGCAGGACCAGCCAGGGTTGCTTTCTATGGGGCCACTATGGGTTGGAAGTCATTGGCAGCATCTAACAACAACATCCTAGGAGCAAATGACATTTCATCCACTAATTAACTTTTGTATTCATAAAGAAAGGAGTTTTAAAAATAAATAAGCTTTTTAAATTTTAAAATTATGTTTAGATTTACAGAAAAAAAGTAAGCATAGTACAGTTTCCATATATTTCCTACACAGTTTCCCCTGTTATCAATATCTTACCTTGGTATCATTCATAAATTAATATCAATATATCCCTGTTAACTGGGATAAAAGCAAAGTAAATAAATAAATAAATAAAAACATGTCACTGTGAAGTTAACTCCAAATCTTGGTGGTACCATGTGTTTTTGAATAGAATTGCTCTATAGGGTCTTCTTGGTTATCATATTTATGGAAGCAGGGAACTAAGCCTTTCTTCCAAGCTATTTGGTGGTTAAGTTCAAAATGCCAACTTTATGTTAGTAGTTGAGTGAAAATGTTATTCAGATTTCTTCTATTTGTATCTAATACCCTATGTTACCAAATTATATCCAGATAGCACATGGTACTTGTGCATCATATAGTTTATTCTCCACTTTGCTGTGAAAATATTCCAGGATTTTATGGGTGACCATGTGTTAGTACAGATTGACTTGAGAAAGACATCCAGACATGCTCATACATGTGGAAGAGAGAACTTTATGTCAAAAAGTAATTATGAATCAATAAAACATCCCAGCCCAGTCCAGATCAAGTCCATAAATTCAATTTTAGCCCATAAGCACGATATTAGCCTATGAATTCCTCTTCAGACTCACGCAGCACATGTAATGATGCTGAATGCAGGAAGAGCACAGGCCTGCGGGTGGAAAGTCTTGTGGATCCGGTGTTGGTAGAAGCATCTCAAGGGCTCTGGTTGCCATCAGTATGGCTCCATGTGGCTTGTAACAGGAACTTGAAGGGGTGGGGGGTGGGAGAGGGGGGCCCACCTGTTCGGATCGCAGAATCAAGAGAGGGCGTTCTCAGAATCCTCATGAGAAGACCAAAAGGGATCATCAGGTTGTGACCTGATTGACCGACTAGACACCACCTCTTTATTCTTTTATCAAGTTAACATGTAATTGTGTGACTGCCACACCGTGACAATATTGAGTGTGAAACGCTTCACAGTAGAAGGATGAGGCTTCCTACTCCATGAAGAGTAAAAGCATCTGAAATCCACACGAGCAGCTTTGTTCTGTCTTACAGAGTCACTCTGAGCCTGAAATGACATGATAGTAGTGAGTTTGGTTTGGGGAGTGTGGAACTTGTTTGAT